AGCGCCGCGGCGTCGGCCCGCGCCGCGCGCACGCACTCGCGCAGCAGCGCGCGCAGCGGCCGCAGGTAGTCCTCGGGCCGCAGCAGCAGCTCCTGGAAGGCGCCGGCCACGGCCGCCGGCACCAGCTGCGGCTGCGCCTGGATCAGCGCGCACAGCACGGCCATGTTGTTGGGCGAGCGCACGTTGGACAGCTCGTTGTAGATGGTGTGCGTCACCACGCTGCGCAGCAGCGCCGGGCTGTCCGACACCATCTCCCTGCGGGCGCGGCCGGGGCGTTTCTAAGCGACACGGGCGCGCGGACGGCCGAGGGCCGTCAGTCGAACCCGCGCGACTTACTCGTTACATACAAGAAATTTCTTGGTCAGCGCTACCGCTCTCTTTGTGTCAAGTGTCAAACACAAAAAACCGCAAACCGAATCATTACTTAATTTTTTTCACTGCGCACTGTTTGCCATTTCTGATCAAAGTTGAAGAGACACAATTATGAATCAACATGAATAATCATCAAAAACAATAAACACCAACTTGAGCCCCGTTTAAAAACAATTTCTCTATAAAGCTACCCACTAGCGTAAACAGCACAGCATTCGATCGACCCTCCAACGACACCTTTTAATAGTCTACTTCAAAACGACACGTAGATTCCTACCTAAGACAAGCCTGGTAGGCAGCCTGCAACGGCTTGGTCTTGAGCCGCATTCTAGCCAACTGCGCCAACACCTCGTGGTCCCTGGCCGCCGTGGGCCCGCAGGCGTCGGCGTTGCAGCACACGTAAGCCAACAGTTCCTGAGCGCAGCGCCATAGCTTGCCGGAATGAAGCCACGCTTCGAGACGAGACGCGGAAATCATACGAATCTGTAAAAAATATTATTTTTTACAACCTTGGTTATACGAAACAGGCTTTGTTTGAGACCAAATTGACCGATAATAGTAGTTCATGTCTCTGTTACATAATGAAAGGCGTTAAAATACGAGTGTGGGTTTCGAGCCGATAGGCGAATTTCATTAAAACATCACACGAGTTTTTTAACGCCTGATTATGTACAGTACACTGCTTTATGTATACACATATTACAAGCCCTCTGTGATGTGTTCAGGAACCGCATGTTACCACTGGCAAAATGGTGGCAAATAAAAACTTTTCTCACGCATGTCACACAACCATTGACTTACAAATAAATGGACGACGGGTCTAATACAAAAACAACGAAAAAAATGTCCCAAGTCAACCTATTCGAAATTTAAATTGTTATGTCATCGCAGTATCGCGCTGTCCGTAGAACAAATGAAGACTAAAGCGGAGTGTCGCGCTCTGTATACGATTTTAGCGCCTTACAAGTGCGGACACTTTTTAGCGCGGACACGACGTCCATATCATTGTAAGTCAATGCACACAACAGTAGTTTTTATTTAACTTATAGACAAACTAGAGTCGGCTCCAACTATCACATCATTCGATATCAAGTAACGTGTGAAATTGTCAAAATTGTTTGCTATTGACGTTTCATTTCGAATAAAACTTCATCTCGACTGATATTAGAATAGAGATCGAATCAAATTGTTTTGTTTTTCACAGATGTTCGAAATTTGAATGTAATAATAAAATCGAATTTGATCATTGACCTACTAACAAATGAACGTCGGGTTCGCGCTAAAAAGTGTCCGCACCTATAGGGGGTTAAAATCGCATACAGAGCGTCAATCGCGCAACAGTCTTCGTTTGTTCGACTGACAGCGCGGTTGTCAATTATGCAGTACCAATATAATAATAACTTGTAAAAATTAGTGCAGTAAAGTGTAAAAACAGGATTTTGTATCATATTTTCACTAAGCAAATATATTGTGTTATCATAGTTTTCATTTAATAGTGTTATTTGGTACAGTTTTAAAGTATTTCATTTATATATAAATTAATCGTAAATATAAATTACAAAAGCAAACAAAATAATCAAATAGCTAACTGTCCTTTTTCTACACATTGCATGCGCAAAGGATGGAAAGAAACCCATTACGTCAATTTCAAGAAGCCTAAATAAACTTCTTGGTCATTTTCAATTGTTCGAACTATAAGCGATTGAAATATTTGGAACAAAGAAACTATAGAGTCGTGTTGATTTTCCTCTTATTTTTAAAATGACTTTTTATTAAACGTTAGCAAGCAATAACTAACAAAATATTGTTGTACTCGTTTTACTGCTTGGGATTACCTATCAGAAGTCAGAAAACACATTTGCCCGAAATAACGTTGGCTCGAATTTTCATAATATCAAATATATTTTTTCAGGAATATTACAAAACAAAAGCAAATTTTGGCTTTGTGAGAACACAAAGCCAAAATTAACTTTTATTTTGTTGCATCAAAATTACTTGAAAGCGTAACGGTTTTATTATAAATAGGTTTTCGGAATTACGGATATTTGAGTTAACGTTTAGTTGTAATATCAGTACATTTCTTATAGTACAAGCTTATTTTCACATTTGCAGTAATATTTGTATGTATGTATCTGCCCAACTCTTTATTATATCTATAAGTGAATTTGTTCGATATAAAAATAAATTAATATTTACGAGAAAGGCTACTCCATTATTCTTATGTTCAAGTATTTTTCAGTCGAAGCTAAATATGGTGCATTTTGTTAAGTTTCCAGTAGAAACTGGATATGGTGTTTTTGGGTTCTTAAATTGTTGCAAGCAAAATTAGGCAGTACTGCAATGACGTTACAACTTAAATTAAATGTTTTAGTTTTTTATATTTCGTTAGATGTCACTACGTTTGTATAGGTTAATTTCGGACATTTTTTTATGTGTCCGATGTCCATTTGTTGGTAGGTCAATGAATTTGATGCTATTATTAAGCAATAATAACATTTTCACAGATAAGAAATTTTTATCTAACAAAAAAGTTTACCTTTATGATGGTCGTAATTTGCGGTTTTTCATAGAGAGTTTATGATGTGTGTGCAGATAAAAACTTTAATAGAAAGAATACGTTTATTTGCCAGAATACAGTAATGACAAAGGTTTTTAAATTTAGGTACATTGTGTTCGACCTGCAAGAAAATGTGCAAATATGTTCGGTCTTTACCGTTAATTGCACTTCAAATTAATGTAAGTTTGCATTCGAAAATTCCAAGTATTCTTTATTTTATTACTATACAAGCAATGTATCAAAATTCATTTTGTAAATTGTAATTTAAAAGTTTTAGTTAGTTTTAGTTAGTTGCCCTTGTAACAATTTAATTTCATATGGTAAATTATTGAAAATAATTATACACATGTTGAAACAGTTTTTCTTATAAATTACTTTATGGCAACAAGGTTAGTTTTTTTTTATAATACCAACTGACGGGAAGAACAAGTCGTGCGCCTGCTGGTAAGTTACACGCCTGTCCATAACAGTTGCAGTGCCACTTAGAGCTTCAAATTGCAAAGATCTGAGGGGTAATGCCACTGCGCACCATGAGAGATTTGTTGACAAGTCCCATGTGCTTGTAATTTCACCAGCACCATTATCGTTTAAAACCGGAAAATGCTGACAGTACTGCTCGGCGGCAGAAATAGGTAAGGTGGCAGTATTTCCATGGACGAATTCTTTCACAAGGAGCTCTATTGCTACTACAAGGTTGGTACAAAAGATTCATAATTTTAGCGGAGGAATTTGGAGTGCCCTGGAACCGAGGTACGATTTTGGGCCAATTGCAGTGGAGACTGCGGGGACTTGGGGTGCGGAGACCAAAGAATTCAACAGGGAGTTGGGTCGTCGGCTTAGAGATAGAGGCTGTAATCCACGCTCTGGATCTTACGTGGTGCAACAAATTTGGTCAGCCATTCAGCGCGGTAATGCTGCCAGTGTTTAGCCCTTTAATTGCTAAGTCTGGCGAATTGCATTACTAATTTTTACATGACGAATCCTGTTGCTGATTTATATTTGTGTCTTATCGAATCAGTAGATTTGATATAATTACTGTGGACCTATCTACACGTAGGTACTGAAATTCTTGTTTTGGCGGCTAGATGTCGCTTAACGTAAAGAAACAAAGAAACTGACAGTTGTAGCCGTAAGTCCGGTTACGTACTAAATAGTCATTTGAGTTTCTTCTAAATATGATTTTATATCCAGACTTACATAGGCCTTTAGTATAATTTGAAAATCTTAATGAATTTGTTTCAGTCATACTTGTAATTATGACATTTGAAGACACTAAGAATTCTTGTCTTATTCTCTGTACCGGAGCCACCACCAGCTATACAGAGATTCGCACGTCAGGTTCGTTTCAACATTAGACTCCACAATTTTGACAGCAGAAAATTCGACGTTTCACACGAAAACGTTTCACATCATGCCAGAAGAATAGACACGCACTTGTGCTACTAACTCTTTTTTTTGCACTAATAACTCTTGTTTACATATTACACAACATGGCATTTTGTGACAAATTAGAAGAAAAGAGATTACTCTCAGTCTTGGCTGTATGGCGCATAGTGCCTTTGCCTTTTCCTATGGAAAAAACAGTACCAAAAAAAATTGAATGTACCTATGCGGGACGTCAGCGTGACGTAGACGTAGTCATTACGGGAAGCAAGGTCGACTGATCTACCAATCGCGCGCTCGATACGACACTGTCCCGCCCATCGCTACCCGCCTCCACCACTAAATAGATCTAAAATGCGTTTCTTTCTGTGCGTTTAAGGTCATTGTTCAAAATGTTTGCAAGTGCCGATGTCGTGCAAGTCAATGACCTTTGGATCAAATTTGTTTACCGCGATTAAATAAAAAACAGGAATTTACGAAATTTTTTTTGTCCATTTATTTTTTCAGTGATTTGGGTTCTGTTTCGGATATAGAATGACCTCTATAAATATGGCGAGAATGCACATCAACACATTGTATATGATAACGGACCATAATGCATATGCACTAAATTGAATTAGTAAAAGGTTGGCATTTGTGTAGGACTCAAATAATTTAGTTATTCTGTCAAACTTTTAGTTTGTTTCGTGTATATATATAAAACTAAGGGAATTGAGCAGTAAGCTACTCAACGTTGGTGCTCGAGACCGTTAATTTGACTACAGGATACCAAAAACTTAAAAAAAAATATTATGTTTACTATATATTATATATATATTATTATATAGTATATTTATGCTGTATTATGTTTATTTTATATTGTATAAATTAACCATATGTTTTTTTTATATTTTATGTAGGCAGCAAACAAGCTTACGGCCCGCCTGATGGAAAGCGGTCACCGTCGCTATGAACACCTGCAACACCAGGGGCACATCACGAGCGTACATTATTTGTTCATTATTGTATTGTGCAAATAGATTAAATACATAATCTCACCTCTGGGAATCCACAAGTAGCAGACAATAGTTTAAGGAACCCTTTCCCAATCGCGTCAGGTGCAGCACGCCGCTGGATCTGGTCCTTAATCGCCTCCAACACGAGACCTTCCACTGTCTCGTAGCTACTTGAATATCTGAAAGCAAATTATAACTGACTTTCGATCAAGATAGCGAGAGTTTTCGCCCAGAATGAACTTCACATTAATTTTTCAGCATGTTCGTGTAAATAGATTGAAATTACATTAAATTTAGATTTGTTTAAAAAAGCGGTGGTAGTCCAGTGAGAGAAAGTTTGCTTCTCAATGAAGTGATCGACAGTTGGAATCCTTGTGGTACAGGACATGCCTAAACGGCGCCAGCAGTGCGTGACACACGATCAGAACTATAGACTAAACCCTCTCCTAAAGGAGACACGTGCCCAACTTTGGGACAGTTGAAGAGTTGACGATAATGATGGTTATGATGGTGATGGTGTTTTAACCTGGAGTTATGCATGGTGTGGAGAAGATATGAAACAGCATGGGTAACAGAGTAACAGAATAAATCATAAAAACAATGCTGAAGATTTCAGACTACACCAACATGAGGGATTATTGACAGTTGATGAAGAGAAAGAAACATTTCACGGTCCGGCAAAAATTTACACTACTCTGCATTGATAGCTTTGGTATTCACGTTGCAGTACAAGATTTTAGAACTGACCTTGGAAAGACAGAATACTCCAGTTCAGTATCGGCAGTCTCGTCCTCATTGCTGCCCATGAGCGGTGAGCCTGACCCCGAGGGCGACATGGTGCCCAGCGTGCTGTCCGAGGGCACCAAATGCGCCGGTGGCGTTTTGGTGCTGAACGCTGTTACTATGTTCTCTACCAGGCATTTGCACCACGAGCAATCCACCCACCAGCGCTCGTTTAGCGCATCTTCTATGTATACCTTAAACGTGGAGTTAGGCTGGATCAAAATGCTAATGGAAACTATTAAGCCATGTTTATCGTCATATAATGCAACAACACCCGTGAATGAAATAGCAGTAGAGCCTCTTTGTGAAAGAGTCTGTTCAGGGAAGTACCGCCACTTTCCTTATTTCTGCCACTAGCAGCAATGTGAGAATTCGTTTGGAAGGGTAAGGGTGCTGGTGAAATTACAGGCACTTGACAACTTATGTCTCAGGGTGTCGGAAGCAGTGGCAATGCCCCTCATATCTTTGTGATTTAAAACTCTGAGTGGCACGGCAACTGTTATGGACAGACGTATCGCTTACTACCAGGCGCACGACTTGTTCGTCACGTCACATAGTAATATAAAAAAAAAACAAATTTTTTTGCCTAATATAATACCATATTTATACGAAAGGTGGGACAGGCTTCCATTGACTTATACAAATAAATGGACGACGGGTCTAATACAAAAACCACGAAAAAAATGTCCCAAGTCAACATATTTAAACGTAGTGACATGTAAAGGAATATGAAAAAGCTAAAACGTTGAATTTAAATTGTAATGTCATCGCAGTACTGTCTAATTTTGCTTGCTTCGCTGTCAGTCGAACAAACGAAGACTAAAGCGTGAATGACGCTCTGTATACGATTTTAACGCCCTATAAGTTCGGACACTTTTTAGCGCGGACCCGACGTCCATATAATTGTAAGTCAATGCAGGCTTCAGAGTATTTCAAGCTGGTCACTTAAGATGTAAAATCAACTCTAACGACAAGCATGTACCTTGACAAGTTTGACGTGTCTTTGAGTGAATGACAATCCTGTTGCATGCGAAAGTGTACAAAAAACCGTTTTTTACATTTCCGTAACTATGCATATAATATAGTACAAGAAAGAAATTCCAACAGATCTAAGATTAACTCTTATTGGGAAATGGTTTTTTGTATCTGTTATACTAGTAAATGGTGACAAGATTGTATTAACTTTTGTTAGTGCTTTATAGTAGGTTAGGTCTTTGAATAGATTCCTTTTCACACCCTACTCACAATAGTGTGACCACACTTGTAGACATGTCTCATTTTTAAATTAATTTAAAATTATCTGGAAATAAACCCAACATGTTAAACATATATTTGACATGGAGATCGAGTTGTATACTCTGTTACTTATATCTATATGTCAAATATATGTTACTAATATGTTACTTATATCTTAGCGCGATGGTAGCCCAGCAGATTCCCTGTGGTGACATGTACTTATGACTTTTATTTAAAAGTTATATGCATTTGGGAATGTTTGGTAATACTAGCTCAGACGAACAATGTAGGAGAAACCGATTGAAGTACACATGCCGAAAAAGGTTTGCAACCCTGGGAAAACTGATAAGGCTCATTGAAAACCAGCACCACAGTCAATAATGGCTGTGCCATAAGCTGACTGACGTCCTTTTGCGTACGCCACAACTGCACAAATGACAGTAATCGTTATATTTGGTTTATTTTAACTGCCTCTGTGGCCTAACGGTTAACATGACTGCCACGCAGAGGTCCCAGGTTCGATTCCCGGGCCGGGAGAAATATTTGTATGACCTACATTTTGTTTCTCTCGTGAGTTTGGGTGTAATTCGTGGTTGTCTATATGTGTGTCCATGGCACCCGCGACACAGGGTTTCCCTAGTGCGGGGCTATGTTGAGTGTGTGTGTGTGTGTGTGTGTTACTTTTTGCTTTTGTCTGTTTTGTCCTTTATGTTGTTTTTTGTATTTTTTTTTTATTGTCTAAGTGTTATCAATATGTTTTTTTGTTTCTATATGTTGTGGCGCTGCAATAAACATCTATTCTTTTCTAAAATGGGTGAAGTCCCCAAACAGAGGAGACAAAAATTTTAAGTTCCTTTTGAATTGAATCAAGTCAATGCAGAAAACAAAATCGTACATAAATCATCTCACCTTGATAAATGTATCAGGCCAATTTGTACTATCCTTATGTCCAGCGTACAACATATTACAAGCCAGTACGAACACCAAGGGGTTCCCTTTGCTCTTAAATGCTGCTCCTTGCTCCCTCTTCAGTAGAGTACAGAGGCTTTGAGTGACAACATCATGGGCGAACATGTTAGGACGTATTTTGGTCAGGTAGAGTAGACTCATGCAGAGAATAGGATCTGGTTTTGAGCGTTGCGATTTCAGGAGGCGAATTGAGCCCGTCAGTAGACCAAGCTGTGAATTAGAAATTATATTTACTTATTTATTATTAAAATAAGCTATAACCACACTTCGGACACTCCACACAACAGTGTAAAGTAATTTACCTACTACTACTACATAGAGCAAGGCGCTATTTGCACCCGCGCAAATGTGTGCGTAAAGTGGCAGGGTTATTCATCACTTTCTCGTACGTAGTTAGAGCGGCAACATAGCGAAATTTTAACGCGGATCTGTTATCTATAATTCTATTAATAGAATCCCAATAATTACGCATGTTCATTATAATAGGTATTTATATCGATATAATATTACTGCCTAGAATAATGTTGATCATTTATTTCAAAAACATATTAAAAGCACTTAAAATGTTATATTTTAAACCTAGTTACTTTTAAATAAGGTAACCAAGGTATTTGAAATTGTGTGTCCATGTTTATCATTACCTAGTTAATAATTAGGTATATTCACTACTTAATACTACTAAAAAGTCGTTGAAAAACCAAATACAAAGACATGACGCAAGCACATAGAAAAATTCGTGAGGTCCGCTGGTTCGTTCCGTAGCTTAGTTGGTATAGCGTCTGGCACGGTATGCAAGAAGACGTCGGTTCGAATCCGACCGGATCGAAGGATTTTTTTCTGAGTGTTCGATCTTTGTATTAATAATTATAACAAACTAGTGGAGTAATTTCACAAAAAATAATTGAATATCAATTCAATAAAAATTTAATTAATACGTAATATTTATCGGCAATACAAATTGAAAATTCGTGAATCTTTGTCTACTAGCTCACGAAGTTATGGCGTCGCGTTATATTGATATAATAAATCTGTATTATTATATATATATTATATATTATAGAGTATAAATAAATGAAGAAAACAATAACTGAATGAGTCTCAGACATAAGTTTTTGTCATCTTCGTTTCATCTTTCGGGAAACGAAAGAAACTCCTCTTTTTATCCCGTTTAGATAATAATAAACAGCCACACAAAGCACAATTCACGACTATTATAAATAGTAATGTACAATGAGCTTATATATTAACGTGCAAGTTTTGTAATGAATTAATGAAAACTATATTCAAATATCAAAGCCGTCTTAGCGCGAAAACGGCTCGCCGACAGCGATATTTTTGACAAAACATTGTCTTACGGAAACTTAAACTAAACAAAAAGATTGTATGTAAATGTAAAAGTGGTGGCAGCCGAGTGAATGATTGCCGCTTAATTGAAAGACTTGGAAGTTTATACAACAGGGTCTAATTTGTTATTATAGGTTGGTTGTCTCTCAACCTTATGAGGCCTAAATCTACAGGAGCAATTTAAAAACCACATGCAATATAGTTATGATGTGAGTTGTGAATATCTTCCAATATGCAGTATCCAACATACCTTTCAGATGCGAAAGTCAAAAGTGAAACGCATTTCTTAAAGGATTAATGCACATTAGGGTTGTGCCCAAGATGTGGACGGGCTATGCTCCATCAGGGGCTTAAAAAATATCACTACGTATATTTCGTATGAACCCATGTTTGTGTTCGGGCCGGCACTGGAGCTTCAGCATTTTGCCGGATTGTGATTCCAATATGATATCAATGTTAATGTTTTAACATCATCAGAAAAAGCACATCATGACGAACATTTTAATAGGTAATAATCACACAAATAAATAGTAGTGGCATTCATTCTGGAAGAAATCTCCAGTGAGCACTCATCGTCAAGAAATGACCCACAAGTTGTTGATATTTATGACTGTTGTATCAACAAATCATTGAGATGTTTTATTTGTGCTGGGTTACCAAGCATTAAACTGTGAAATACTAGTAAAAATTTGGTCACATGTACCAAATTTTTACAATGGTTGCACGGTCTCGGCTCGGCGCTGATGTGTGTGATTACACCTTTAGTGGTTTTTGAATACAGCTAATTTCTGTATACCACCCAAACTTACCAGTTTATCAGAATTATGCGTATCTAATGCATTTAAGACATTATACACAAGGTCTACTGGATCCACTTCCAGAGAGGTACCTCCAACAGCTTCTGCTGGAGAGCCAATCCGAGTTCTCTTGCTGGGAGGCTGGCTACCAAATCCTGTATTGTCTCTCTTACGTTCTACACCTGGTAAATGAAGTGAAAAGGGATTAAACATCTCATTTTGGGCAAATGATCCAGGTCAATTGGACCTAATGGCATATAAAGGACCTTCTAATGGTATTAATGAACTTTCTAAAGGTTTCAGTCATAATTTTGTAGTAAATTTTAACATGTTTTTTTGACAATAGTGCGTATTCTAGGTGTATTGATGTTTCTCCATAATAAAATGCTTATAAAATACTGTAAATTATATTTTATACTGGAAATCGTCATTGTCTCATTAATTTACAAAACGCAGCTGCTCGCCTAGTCTTCCTCTATTTGATAGTTGATCAATCTACCTGCACCAATTCAAACGGACAATAACCTTACAATGTTAAATACTAAATCCTCGAGCAGAAAAACTTACCACTGGTGGAAGGCTTATGAATATTTCTCTTCTCCGAGCTGGAGACTACCACAGTGGACTTACTGCCTAGGGCAAAAATATCCTGAGGGTGCTGTGGTGCCTTGCTTTTAGCCCCGCGCCCTGCAGATGGCATTTTTCCTCTTTCCATATTTATTTCACAACTATAGTGTATAAACTACAGGTGTTTAATGAAACTCATAATATCTAATAGTATTTTTGATTATTTGTTGTTATAATTTCAGAGAAAAATACGAAACAAAAATCTTCACCGCACCAATACTGTCAAAACATGGCGCTTTTTGTGGTAGGTGTTAAAGAGGGAGACAAAATAGTACAGCGATATCTTTGTCAGTCATTCATGGTATAGTTTAAAGGTTACAAAATAACACCAACATTAGTTTGTGAACACCAATAAAAGTCAGAGACGTACTCGGGAGTACAGCTTTTCACTGTAAAAATTATTCTATTTATTCAACCTTCAAGAGAAATTAACATTTCAACAATAAATCAATTTTTTTTTGTAATTCTAACATAGGTAAGTAACTAAAATAATAAATCAAAGTAACAATATAAGATTGTCAATAAATGTAATCTAATTCTTCTTAGACTTGGTTTCGTTGCGGTTGTGTTTGAAGAATAAACGTGGCTTGTTCTTCACGGATTTCTTTAGTTGAGATAAGGAAATCATATCCTGGGAAAAATACAAATGAATTTAGACTGATACTAATTCAGATAAAGAAAGCTAGCACCATAAAAAAACAAACCTCATCCTTTTTGGGCTGGGAATGGTGTTTAGAGCTTAGTCCACCGTGCAGTATTGGTACACCTGCACGACGTTTCTTCAGCGAAGCCAACGGTACTGGCGTAAGGCGTTCACCACGTGACAACGCTTCAAATCGTCGGTTTACTTCTGCAGCCTGAAATAACATAGTTGTAATTCTAATTCTAAAAATCTGAACAAACACACACACACACACTGTGTGTATGAGAGACTTAAAATATTGGCAAAGACTAGTAACGCAAGTTACAGCAAAATGTAAGCCGAAAACTACCATGAGCAAAGTCGTATGAAGAAATTTTGATGTCCAAAGGGATACAATAAAATGAAATTTACATCAAGAGTGCTGTCTCCATCCATACTGCCGTCGCTGAGGAAATTGAAGATACTGTCGTTTTTGAGATCCGCGCGTGGTGTCGGAAAATGAGGCTCCTTCATTTGTGCAGGGTTACGCTGTATATGTAAGATAGTTAATATTATAAAACGTAATGATATATTATGATTAGGTACATACATATCTTAAGGAAATATTCATGTTACTGTACTACCTTCTTGTTAGAAGGAGTCAACATAACAGCATTATCGTCTAATTCAGGTTGAATTGCTGGAGGTCGAATCAACGATCCAGTAAGTTCCTTCTGAATGTTGTCAATTTTCTTCTGCATGTCTTTGATCTTGTCTTGCAGGCGTGCCTGTAAACGTTAACGTGGTTCACGGTAACTTTGTATTTGGTTTTATAGTTTCGTCTTTCGCTATGTTGTTTATATACTACAAACGATTAAATACAATAAAGCAATAGTCCACCTTGTCGCTTCTCAGTTCCATAATAATATTCATTTGTTTCGAAAGGTCGTCATCCTTGCTCTAGAATAAAAATTGATATTAATAAAAGAATCTCGAGGATATCGGCACATTTAGAATATCTATAGCTAACTTACTCTAACCACAACTTCTAATTTTTCAATCTGTTGTATCATTTTTTGCTCTTTTCCCATAGTTGCCTGTCTCTCCATGGCAATGTCACTTTTGGTGCTCTGCAGAGTAATTTCTAACTTAGCTCGAGCATCCACAGCGGTCTTTACTTCAGTCATCAGATGTGAAATTGTAGATGCTTTGGAGTCAAGTTCTTGATTTTTGGTTTCGATGATTGTTGCCAGTTCCGTGATCTTAGCATCCGCTGCATCTCTAATTAAAGCATTTATTTGCCACGCAAATACATAGGGTCAAAATACAGTTAAAACTAAAAAACTAAAATTAAGAAAAGAATTTGGTTATACTGTATAATCAAATTATGTTTAGTGCACAACAGAGGAACAAGAACACTGATCTCAGTATTTGCTGTGCAGACTTAGTTGGCACGGCACTAGTTTTCGTCTAGAACCTACCATGACAGGAGCTATAATTTCGTGGTTGTGTGCCGAATTATTGAACAAAATAAACGCGTACATTATCTGTGGTGAATTCAGCCAAACTGAACTACCCTGCTTTAATCTTCCTTCGATATCAATGAAACTTCCTTTAATCTGAAGTGGACTGTATATTCAAATAAATGTCAATCTGACTTACAAAACAAGAAATTGTAACAAGTGCTTCCCAGAGTGATTACAAAAAGTGAATACAAAAGTGATTGATTACAAACTAAAATTTGCTTAGGTATATTTATACCGGCACGATGTCTCCCACATCGTACCGGTCCTATCAATGGGTCGCTACGCCGCTCGGCCAATCAGAGCTCTTGAATTAATCATTCACCTCTGGACTCTAGCTCTGACCGGCCAGGCGCGTATGGCCGTCCGTAACATTATCTATGAAGAAGGGGAAAGGAAAAAAATAACAATAATACTTGGTACTTGGTGTAACGGGCTAGTGTCCGCAACTCGACGTCAAGGCGCCTATTTTGCGTGTGGATAATAATAATAATTACTTGTTTAACATAGACATTCAAGAGGGTTCATTTTGACATAGTCTAATGTAGTAAATATATTATAATTAATGGATAGTTCTATCGTGAAATTTTTTAATATTTACCTTGAAGCTTTTAAAGCATCTTCCATATCTTCAATTTGTTTTGCAAGTTCTCCATCAGCGATTGTTAGCTCCTGAATTCTTAGACTTAGAGATTTCACCTCATTTGCGGCTTTGTTTAAATCAGCTACTTTTCCACCGTTTTCTTTTTCCATAATTGATATTTTGGATAGCAATTCCTGTTTTTCCTTTTCGGCGTCCGCTAGAAGCTTTATTTTCAACAATAAAAGTTGTATTATTTTACAGCACAGTCAAAACTAAAAACAGTCGTATTTGCATACTTGCCTTTGTTTTATGAATTATTTCTTTTTCTAAGTATTTGTTCTGGTCAATTGAAATCCCCAGTTCGGCTTTTAAAAAGTCATTAGCTTTGGTGGCACCCTGAAAAAAATACGGAGGTACGTACACTGGGTCTTTGGAATGCTGCACTGCAGTAGATATGAAAACCAAACCTGAATATTAGCTCGAAGTTCCTTCACTATGTTTCCAGTGGTATTTTGTTCCTCCTCCAGTGCTGCAATTTTTTCTTGCAATGCATTATTTTGCTCACAAATGCTCCGAGTATAAGTATCTTGATTGTTAAGAGCTGTCTTAAGAGAGTCGTTACTAGCAGTTGCTTCTTTGAGTCTGCATTAGATACCAAAAATTAAAGCTATATAACTAAAACTTTTACGTGCATGTTTGGTAAACTGATTATTATCTTACTCTTTTTCAACTCGTGACATTTCCGATTTGATTTCAGAAGCTTGAACGTTGAAATCATGAATCAATTGCTCGGTGTCTCTTTGAAGACGCGCCAAGGCTTCCTCTTTCTAAATTCGAAATAAAACACAATTTTCTTACATCTAATTTTCATTTTTTTTTGTCACAATCAATTAATTTATTTATTTGTCAGAATAAGGTCAGTACGTACTTATGTTAAATAAATCCAGCTGTTCCTACAATGGTTGGCATGTATTTACATGTACGACCAATTTAGTATTTAATCCTGTCCACTGTTTGTACCTAAAAACATAGACGAAAAGTATTTTTCTTACCTTTTCTAGTTCTTGATGGCACTGGTCTAGTTCGCGATTACGGTCAGTATTTGTAGCTATCAGCTGCTCTTTAGAAGCCAGAGCAGATGCTAGTTCATTTTTTACTGCAACTAACTCAACATCAACACGTTGTTTCTCTGTGGTGAAGTATTGCGCCAGCTGACTCTGATGGTCTGTTGACATTTTCACTAAAAACCACGAGATATAATATTACACATACGTTTAAGACGGTGCGCAATGAACAAGCTACCTCGACATTTCAGCATATCAGATGATCCAGGCTTCAGCGAGTGAAGCAAACGGCTCCTAGTTACCTGCGCCTCACCAGTGCGGCGTCTGATGAACTCCTACGCAACCCGCATTGTAACCGGCAGCTGTTTCCCGATTTATCTTATTGCAGTGCTTAACGCCTCGCACATTGTAAAATTGAACAGCTAAACTAGTGAACGACTAACACATATATCGAGTTTAATTTGAACATCAAATCCAATCAAAATTTAAGACGGAATCATTAACATAATGTAAGAGAAATGCGTTTTTTTCGTGAGAACTTCAGTTTATACATAACAACTAAGTGCAAACTTACGTTTATCCTGCAGGTTCTCAATAACCTGGTTGGTTTTCTCCTCTTTCTGTAGATGCTGAGTCTTCATTTCGCTGACCATTTGTCCCAATTGCTGGTAAGCCTCGCAAAGAGCTGATTGGTCCGCCTTACAGCGAGACAATGTTTCCCGGAGGCGTTCGCTGTATTCTACTAGTACGTTGCAGATCTCGCGGGTACTGCCTAACCTGGGGTGAAAGACACAAAGTAGCATAACTGAAACATTTTTTCGTGGTTTTTTTAAGTTTAGTAAAAATAATAATTAAGTTCCTAAGTACGTATCTGAGTACATGATTGCAAAAATATAATATTCATACTTATTCATAACTTCGGGCCTGTGTCTCAATTCCTCTTGATACTGCCCGGAAACTGTTTCATACTGCATCTGTACCTCCAGCATGTTCTGCTGCAGCTTCGCATGGTTGGTCTCCACTTCACGCAACTTTTCTTTTAAATCCCAATAAGCGGTGTCTTGGGCCACCTAGCGAACGTATAAAAGTTTAATGGTAATGCACTTGCTTAGTGTATAATGAAATAAGACAGGCAATATAAAAATAGAAAATAGTCTCAAATACCTTCAGCTTGATAATTTTTTTATTCTCACGAGAAACCTTTTCCCGGAGCTTTTCAACATCTGCACTCATTCTCTTGCGAGTGGCCACCTTGTTTATATCGGTAATATCCATTGTGGATCAAATTTTTATGGCTTTAAATTTTATTGCGTACAAGCGTTCGTGTCCTGAAAATGGCGAGAGAAAGTTTTTGAAAATTATTTAAAACGGCGGGGAAATTTTTTTGTTGCCATTTGAAACGCAAGTAATAAAGAAATATTGTTTTATAAAACGAACGTTATTAAAACGTAAACAGTTATAAAATAATTTTTTTTTTAGTTTTCACATTAGTATTTTGGTACTTTGAGGTTTCATTGATGTGAGTAACGATCGTTCACAGTCATTTTCTTTGCAAAATTATAAATATAAATGTTTTGAGTATTATAAAATATGTACAGGGTCAAGAGCACGTCAAGCTTGACACTTAAGATTTAAATTCTTCTGCCTCTGTGGCCGAACGGTTACCATACCGGACCCCCGGGTCCCCGGGTTCGATTCTCGGGCCGGGAGAAATGTTTGTATGGCCTACATTTATTTCTCTCGTGAGTTTGGCTGTAATTTGTGGTTGTCTATGTGTGTGTCCATGGCGCCCGCGACACAGGGTTTCCCTAGTGCGGGGCTATGTTGAGTGTGTGCGTAATTATAAAAAAATTCAACTCTATCCCGCTTACGATAAGAACGGTCCTAAGTACAAAGTGCCAAGCTTGACGTGCTTTTGAATGTACATATTATATTTATCCAAGTCTGGAAATGGTATATATTGTTTTCTTTTTGTTCATGAACTACTTATGACATAAAACCCTAGAGGATGGAAAAAAAATATATCATAAAACCAATATACACGTGATGTCAAAAACATTCAAAAGTGTTATAAATATTTTACAATCAGGCAGAGAGTGACAGGCCTGAATATAATGTGCGATGTATGTAAAACATTTATTACGACTAATACAAGAAAAACTGTGGTTTACTTCACGATTATTGAAATAAAACAAAACTTAATATTGTTATAAAAATTTAAGTTATCGGTGCACATAACGGTTATTAGGTTGTTTGTTATTAATGTATTTTTCATATAGCAACTTTAAAGTCAGCTGTCAACAGTTCCGATATAGTCGATAAAAATAAAAGGTAATTTTATGAAGAATTGTAATTAATTTGTAAGAAAAATTATTTTTTTTTAGTAAAATTGTTACATAATCCGTAATTACTGTAAGTATTTTGAAGGAACTCTCATTATTCTCAGCGATGTTATGTAACTGTTGTTTGAGGTTATATTTTTTTATTTAAGATGCTCACGAAGTCTCTTTTTGGAGGCCTGAGGGTGGCCAGAGCCCACGTTATCGTCAGCAGAAACTTGGCGGCGGCCCAGAGTGCTTCCGATCCTATCCAGCAACTTTTTCTTGAAAAACTTAGGGAGTACAAGCAAAAGAGCTCGTAAGTACAATGTTTCAATGATTTTGAAGTTATTAGCAGTTTTTTTATCCTACGAAAACTCAATAGTGATGTGAATATAAAATCTTGTAAATATTTGAAGAAAACTTGCATTTCAAGCTGTAGTCTGCCTTACTGATTTTGTGGTAGTATGCTTCAACAAAATGAAAGAAAAGTCGAAGTCCATGTACATATATATATGAAAGACTCGTGAGCTCCTCATGCGGGACCAAATTTAGGGTAGTTTCTGTATAATTGGTGCTTCTGCATCAAGCACACCTCGTCGACTTCAACTATGTGTTGATAACTGAAGCTCAGTTGTCAATGAAATAAGTCCGTAAATCTCCCATAAACGCCTTTAAGCAACATTAATCTCAAGGACACTATTACAATAATTTCCAGCAGGGTCAGGTTCTGCATAAAGCTGTTGAAATGAATATTAATGTCACCTCAAGTAGCACTTGACACTATATATTACATAATATATGGTAATTTGTAAAATACTAACAACTTTGCAGGACTATATGTGTGGAATCCCCACAATAAACTCTATATAGCAATGTTAGAACGAATCCAGAAATAATTTTTGAGGTATTTGTATAGTAAACTCTATGGGTACTATCCTTATATGTACCCTACACCCTTTGTTTTGGGCATGGTGTCGTACAGATTGCTTGAGATCAGGTGAAAACTGGCGCTACTAAAATATATTTTCAACCTAATAAGAGGATGTATAATTAACCCTCCTCTATTGGCTCAAATTCCTTTTTTTATCCTGCCAATCTCACGCTACGTCCTTCGTCAGCGCAAATACCCTCTACTCAATTTTAATTTCACCCGCACAGTGGCACTAATACGGACACCATTCTTCGAAGCATTGGCCGTAATTGAATCGTTAAGCAAAACAAATGATATTGCCGTGTTCAGCAACACTGAATCAAAATTTCTAACATCCGCTGGTTACTATTTGGAGGCAGTCACCGCCCAAAGCTCTGTGGTCCAAATTCCGCTTTCTATCTTTGGCCGGTGATCGACTCAACCTTTTTTTTGTGACTATGACTTACATGTTTAGTTATAAGTACTGTAAATGTTCAGCTGAAGTGGCAGTGGGCAGGGCATATAGCTAGGAGAACTGATGGCCGTTGGGGTGGAAAGGTTCTTCAATGGCGACCACGCACCGGACGACGCTCAGTGGGTAGGCCCCCCACCAGGTGGACCGACGATCTGGTAAAGGTCGCGGGAAGCCGATGGATACGGGCAGCACAGGACCGATCATTGGGGGAGACCTATGCCCAGCAGTGGGCGTCGTATGGCTGAATGATGATGATGACTTTCATACAAGAATAGAAATATTCAAATAGATGGCTCTAAATGTTGATAAGTCTGTGCAATATCAGAAGAAAGCACAAGCGTAAATACCAGTCCAGTGCAAAACACAGGAGAGGTGGTGTGGGGTGGGGGTCGTCAGTGGGGCCTCTTGCTTGCATGTTAGAACTTACTACCTTACTACCAAACACAGGTCTAAAAATTATGAGATAGTACAACAAAAACTTCAAAGTTTATTTTGGTAAACTTATTTTGTTTTGTAAAAAGTTTTGGTACAAAAGTTGTTGCTTACAAGTAATATGGTGTGGCAGTCCAGCATAGTAACCATTCGGCCACGTAAACAGGAAAAGATACAACGCCTGTGAGAGTAGAAGCAAATCTCGTTTATTTCCATACTACCTTCAACTGTCATACATAAACTATTTGTCAAAGTAAATACCAATCTAAATTTTAGAGGATGGAAAATAAACTAAATACACAACAATAGGAAAATGCAATACACTAAATTAATCAAAGTCCAAGCACTAAATAATTCAAAAAGTGATCCATTACTAAATTTCATGTCAAATACTACACAAAGCTCAACTCTGGATTCTTTTATGGCACTCAAAAGTTTTTACACAAATTTAAGAACTTCATGCTATAACAAACTCTATGAATTAAATTTAAAAACATGTATAAAAACAGATTTAAAACCAACCAATCTAACTGCAACCAAGATGAAGGTCATATTGAATATTTATTGAAGCATTAAGTATACGGACAACTCATGTTTGACCAAAAAATTTACTGTCAAATTTGTATTCACAAAAAAATCCTAATGGTTTTTAAGACAGTTCTCCTGTATCACCTACGGCTTCTATTTCCCCATACTGTCTTAGTTAAAAAAATGACACTGTACATTAAATGTATGCTAGTCTTTACGGTATGTATTTTACAGCTCGTTGTTGCCTGAATGAATAATTAAATAAATAAACTTTCTCTGCTTAGTGCAAGCTTAACAAATTGTCTGTAAATGTGAAAAAGGTTCACATGAAAACAAACAAGGTTCATTAGAAAACAAACTGTAGCCGTAATTGCTTCATATATTTACAGTAGAGATGCCACGAATAGTGATTAGGCCGAATACCGAATATTCTGCCCTGCTCGCGGCCGAGGCGCCGACTATTCGGCTCCCAAAAGTTCGGCGTAAGATCTGTGCATTTCACGCGCGACCTGTTACGACCTGTCTCATTGACCTGCATGAGGGATGGGGTGTTTTTGTTAAAAAATGATAAATCGATAGAATCAATACATGACTGTTTCTGGACCTGTTTTGAAGAAGTCGCTATAGATAATATGCAAGATTTTTATTGAAAATTGTTTGCCTAGTTCGGACGGCAGGACCTTACAAGTGGCTCAGTAAACGCAATCAATCATTCAGTCATTGCCATTTATCTAACGTCTCCTGCCAGGAGTGTTTATACTGAGAGGCTATTTGCAGAAGCAGGAATTGTTTATGAAGAAAAGCGCAAACGTTTGTTACCAACCAATGCTAAAAAAATTGTTTTCATTCATCACAACCTGCCACTGATTGATTTTAAGTATTATAGCAATAATTTGGGATTAAAACACATGATACATTTTGAATAATATGTACTTTTTTTCATTATTTGATATTAAAAAAGTGGCCGCATAGGCCTAATACCGAGTAGCCGAATATTTGTGGCATCTCTAATTTACAGTCCTATGGTGGGGCAATGCCGGGGTCTAAAGTCTTCTCAGACTATACTAGTTGATCGTAAGCCCGATAGTAACGCATGTCTGTATTAGTTTACTAAAGTCAATCGAACAGTCATTATGATCAAATTGAGTACAGTATACTCGTACATTATACACCTGTACTGGTCTTCAGTGCCTTGCTACAGAAGGAGACCTGTGTACACTGTGCAGGTATACAATCAAACACGATGAAATGTGTTCAAAGATAGTGATGCCAAGACTCAATTCTGAAACATCCTGTTCTGAGAACGATGTCTGATATTAAGCATTACAAACAAAATTTCAAAAATCTTGTTTATTAATACCAGGCTTTAAGACGCAGACTCGAGTCTTGACAGATTGAAGAATTTTCCTAAAAGTGTTCGATCTTTGTATTAATGATTATAACAAACTAGTGGAATAATTTTAAAAAAAGAATATCATGTTACAAAAACATTGTCATATTCAATAAACATCATATTAAAACAATGAGTTACCAAGAGTAAGAGTTACCAACTAGGGAAGACTCATAGCGGTACAGTCTCACTTCAAAGGACTAAAAAAGAAAGAGTTTCGTTCAAGGGTCCACTGATTGGTCAAAAATTTGGTTGTGCTGTATACATTGTGTGGTTTATATTCAACACCAAATACTGTATAGAGGCTCAGGTAATGGTTAGCAGTAGATTCCGAATGCTGGCTAGGATCCTCACTAGAAACTGCACGAAGTGTACACAACTGTCTCCTGGGAAAGCATATGCCACAGCTAGAGGAATTCATGATAATCAAAGCTAAGAGAATCCTATATATAACTTGAGACGGTTGGATTTATGTGGCGTGTTGCCTCCAGCACAAATGTAGAAAGTGGTACTGGAATATGGCACGTATTGTTTGCTGGTTCCTGAACTTGAGTCCCTGACCCCGGCTGATTAATATTGTGCCATTACCGAGGAAAGCCGCCTCCATTTATAAATTCGAAATATAAGAGTGGCAAGACTCTGAAAAAAACCAGATAATTTATAATAATGATATATACTAAATTAATCCTTTTATTTTCGGGAGGTATGATCCGCCATTTTTGTTTATGATACTAAGTAAGGGAACGAACAATTGGTGAGCCTGGTGGTGAGCGACACGCCTGTTCATAGCAGTTGCACTGCCACTCAAAGCTTTAGATCGCAAAGATCTGAGGTGCACTGCCACTGCGTCATCACCCTGAGACATAAGTAGACAAGACCCGTGTATCTGAAATTTTACTAGCACCAATGCTGATATTACTGCTTGGTGGCAGAAACAGGTAAGGTGGCAATACTTCCCTGGACAAACTATTTCTCAAGGAGCTTTACTGTATCTAAATCTCACACTTACTCATTAATATTTTAATATCAACGCTTGCGTTCCAGTGAGACAGACAGAGCGCATGGATCTCCACTTAACACATCTCCCTTGCTCATCCATTATAATATTTTAAAATGTGAGTCATATGTAAGTTCAAATTGTTATTTTTATTGTTCTACAGTGGTGGCAAACTAGTAGATCCAACCCCCGAAATCGAAAAGGAACTCAAAACGGAATTGGAAAAACTGGAAAAGCACTATGGAGGTGGTTCCGGAGTGGACATGACACAGTTCCCCACATTCAAGTTCGAGGAACCTAAGCTGGATCCCATCGACGAACCCCAGGCTGCTGCTAAGAAGTGAACTGTTAGGTCATAATGACTCTGTGAGCATCTGTATGAAGTAAATAATAAATTATTGTTAGTACCACCCAGTACGTCTTTCATTGTTTATTTATTTATTTTATTTATTTATACATTTTACTTAAATATGAATAATCCAATGCCATTTACGAATTTCCACCAACATGAAACAATATAGGGATAGTCGTCATATTGGACACCCCTCTCGTCGCGGCGTATTTGTTTTATGATAGGAAGTGACGAATGGGCGGAACGAATGGGTAAGCGACCCGCCTGGCCAGCGTTTCCATTATGTCGTCACGTTTTATTTATCATTAGACGACTGTCGCGTCTAGACTGTTGACTTAGGCTCAACTCACACTGGCACAGAGTCGAAGCGTCGCGACGCGTCATGTTTTTCGCCTATAGCATAGTCATCTCTATTTTCCCATTATTAAGTTACAAATTTGTGTTATGCAAATATGGAATCGCGCGTCGACACGCGTCTTCGCTGCTATCTATAAAAAAATGTTGATGATATACGTAATCGTTTGAAGGTTTTATAGGTAAAAAATTAATTTGGCTATGCTAAGGCCTTATTAAATACTTCATGAACACTGAACATAACGACTACCAAAGCGCAGTGAGCGAAGCTTTCTTGACATCCACAAAAGATACATATTTTTGGAAACGCCTGTGAAAACTAAAAAGCAATTTTACTAAAAGATTAATTAAATGTTTAACTTTTCTAATGTAGACTCGTATAACATTTTCTCTTTGTAGATAGTAGATACTTGTTTTTTTTATGTTGAATTTTTAGCAAAATCAAAAAATGTGTCACTTATTCATAATAAAATAAAGGATAAGGTTTTACCATTGACTTACAATTATATGGACGTCGGGTCCGCGCTAAAAAGTGTCCGCACTTGTAAGGCGCTAAAATCGTATACAGAGCGTGACACTCCGCTTTAGTCTTCATTTGTTCTACGGACAGCGCGATACTGCGATGACATAACAATTTAAATTTCGAATAGGTTGACTTGGGACATTTTTTTCGTGGTTTTTGTATTAGACCCGTCGTCCATTTATTTGTAAGTCAATGGGTTTTACTTACTATTTTTTGTAAACATAACTACTGATTAAAAAAAGAGGAAAGTTGAAAATTTAATTCAATATGTAAAAGTTATAGAATATAAGTGTGTTTTAGTAGATAGACAGTAAAGAAGCTCCATGTCAAGTAATTATCTACATAAAAAAATTATGTACTATTACCATTACCTATTATCATAGAAAACTGATTACTCCTTAATAGGTACATAATACATGATTGCTATTCCCAAATCCACGTCGTGATAACTGTTGAGATTGCCATTGTAAGTCGATTGCATAGCAGCAATGGATATTGTAAGGAGTCGAAAATAAGATGAAAATATTCTTGTAGGAAAACTTGGTAGAAGATTGTGATTCGAATGAACTCGTTTATACCTTACGATTTATTTATTTAATGGTTTTTTTTTGTGGGTGAGTGTTTATTGATGTAGTAGATAACCATTATGATTTTATACACCTCACTCTGCGCTGGTATTATAGATTGCTGCGCAATAAGAATATTTGCCGCGTTTGGCGCAGGATGGTAATTTTAGTGTAGGTAAAGCTTCGAAACCTGAAATTACTTGCGGAGATATTTCAAGACTGTCATATAAGTCTATATTTAGGCCATAAAATGAGAAACTACTGTGTTTTAAGTCTTGCAGTGACAAGAAAGAAGACGTCAATAGTCACGATGCTATTCCAAGATGAAAGAGAAAAGGTAAAAGCAACTTTTAAATATTTAATCTTTTTCTTGTATTAAAATACTTGATTCCAATCGTAACGGTATCGTAATGTATAAAGCGACTATGCCGACTATATGCATCCTGCCTACCAACGCCCGGCGCGTCAGTGGGTACCGTGTCGTTTCACACGCGTGTCGTGTTCTATTCGCTTCAATTTCCTCCATGGCCACCGGCTTTGTAGGCTCTACGAAAAATTTCCCATTCTCCTTCGATGTAGACGTTGACGAGGAAGATGGGAGAACCACCCCGCATTTAAATAAACGAATTGGTAAGTAATAAAGAAAGTTTTCTTTGTTTATGTTTTTTGTTTAGAGCGTGTCGCACAAGCAGGCTGTACTGAAAATTGTTTATTCTTTTGTTTTTTTTTCTGGGGAGGTTTTTTTATAGTTTACGTATGAAGAAGGTATGAAGAGTGAAGACAAATTTATTGTCACATTGTTGAGATAATAATAAAATAATATACATACTTATATACATATATATTAGTGGACCACCTACTTAATAACCAGTTTCATTGCTTTTTATTTTTAATAGTAATACGGCAATTAGTATTGTAGGAGCTGAAACTATTCTGTTTCGCTGAGTAGTAAATATTGGTTATTTTTATTATTTTATTTGTTATATTGGCTGTAAAAGCTTCGAATAACAAAATTAAGAAAGTCAAAGTGTAATATGACTTAAATTTAAAACTAAGTCGTGAAGTGTGAAAACTAAAACCCGCCATATTTGTGTTATTTTTTAAATTATTTGAAATAAATTTATAAATTTATTTGAAACCACGAAAAACATCGCACTGTTAGTTATGAAAATTTATATTTGTTTAGAACACTTTTTAAAGCTAGAGAGATTACCTGTAATGCATTCGTAAAAGGTTACTTACCATATAGCAAACAGATTATATCCTTTGATTCAAAGAATATTTCGTAGGTAGGTAAACATAATATTGAAGAAGTATATTTTTTAAATAATGTCAGGGTTTCACCTAACGTCTGACTAACAGTTGGAAAAAGTACTTCATTGCGTCTATATATCTAGAATGGAATAAATTTTTCTTTATAACTTGACATGAAAAATATGATAGGTTAAAATGGGTAAGATGAAATGCGGGGTATTAGGTCCCTACGCCAAGGTGCCCAAAATGCTGGCAGCGTCCCCTAGTTGCCAGTCCTTGGCTCCTCCTATCCGACAAATAGTCGAACAAGCTTCAGAATGTCCTTAAATAAAACTAAAAATCCACGCACAAAATCGTGTGAATCCACCACTTCGAAACACCTCGGGAAGTCGACAATATTAAAAAGACCCCTGTTGTACCTAACATTAGTAACACCCAAGAGTGGCTTTACAAGTTGGTCGAGTACGCGGATCGATCGATACCAGCTGACTTGACTATATCCGCAGTATTATACATATTGTACGTATGGTTTGTATAGAACTAAATCTAGGCTTATAGAACTAGTCTAGACGATAGAGGACTGCTTTTTATTTAATCTATTTCTAGTTTCGCCCTTGCAAATCGGAGGCGTCAAGTTTAAAAGTAAATTAAGACAGATTTTGCCTCTAGATTGTCGCAGAATATCAGCTGGGGCTATGACTCCGTACTCCTTATCATAATGTAATCGACATTTTTAGCGAAATTGGGTTATTAACATATCTGGGATCGAAACAAGATCTACAACCCCCTCTAATCGGTTTTTTATATGTTATTTAGTTTTAGTATTATTGTTAAGCAAAATCAGCGAAAATTGCAATTTTTGTAGGTATAGAGTTCTTCGGTTTTCGCGATTGTTACTTATTGGAAATGAAACTAATTTATGAGGCCATTGAAATTAAAAAACATTCAAATTTCAATAGGGAAAATGGTTTCTCTGTATCACCAGTTTAGTAATATAATAATTACCTAGACTTAAGAGTGGTTCAACACGGCGACTTATAGCAGCGATGCAAACGCGCGACTGCATCGCTACAAGCGTGCAATTGCTTCGCAACTCTTGGAATATGTAGGCGATTGCATCGATGCAATCGCACGTTTGTATCAATGCAGTCGCCTAAGAATTCCTAGTGTCAGTTTCACGAACGGGCGTTTGCATCGCTGTTAAAACTCGCTATGTGTAACCACTCTTAATTGTAAACGGATGGTCCCTAGGTCAAAGCAAAAAGAAATGTATTGTGCAACTAATAGCGACTTTGCCAGGGGTTTCGCGTTAATTTCCCAACTATGGATAAATATCAATGGTAGGCACTCAATATTATCTGCCTGCCTAGCTCATTCCCAATAGATATAGACTGTCACGTCTCTTCACGGTACTACGGTTCTGATACTCTTTGACAAAATTCAACACTAAAACAAAACAATATCACTATTTATTTGTGTTTGGCACATACTAGTTTCTGTGAATGTTCTTGTCTATAGATTGAAATCGTTGTTTTATATAGTTTGATTTTGTACATTGTGGTTTTTCTAAAGTGTTACTTATCGAGTTAGTCACTATTTCGCAACCGTGATGTAATAAGGCTAAATCTGCAAAATTTTTCAAGGGATAGGTTTTAAGATACTACGAACGAAATGAGTAAGTAATAGAGTTATAAAATTAATTAGTTTCATATTTTTTTTGTGATTTCATCTGTTAAAAGCACTTTTGCCGTATGGTGTGGCTGTGCTATCCAAGGATTACGATGTTACGGAGATTGCGATTTGTCACACCTGGAATGTAATGAATAGAATAGAATATCATTTATTGCAACCATGGTATGTACAGTTCTTACAAGTAATTAGTAGTATCACATGGACCCGGTAGGGTATAGCAAATTTGTATTATAATAAGATGTAATATAATTTCCGCCATTGAAATGTTTGTTTGGATTAGGTATTTATTATAAATATAAATATAGGCGAAGTCAAAGAATCATTATTCCATAGGTAAAATAAATTTACACTTGAAAACGTCACATTTAAGCTACTGCTCGTTCACTACGCTGACTTTCCTGAGAAGAACGAGCAAGAAACTCTAGGGATTGCTCTTTTCAAATAAACTTAAATGCTATGGAATAGACCTTGAATCAAATTTTTGTGGAATCTAAAGCCATGTCGTCTTTCCATACATCTTTATCTAACACGTAGTCTTCAATTTTGTAATACGATTTTTCAATCAAAATATTTTTATTGTAGTTTTTAAACTTAGGAAATGATAATCTTAATATATACTCCGGAATCTTATTGTAAAAACGTGTACAGTTCCCCATAAAAGAGTCGTTTACTTTGGTTAAACGAAATCGTGGTACTATGAGTTTGGACTTAGCTCTAAGGTTAACATTATGGATATCTTCTTTCTTAATGAAATTATGTATATTTTTACGGGCATACAAAATGTTTGAGTAAATGTACCGAGATGCCACAATCATGATACCAGTCTCCTTAAACTTTTCTCTGAGAGAAACCCGAGAATCTAAACGGTACACATTTATTTGTAAGTCAATGGGTACACAGAAAGAATCGCTCGTTTTTGAAATAGAAATATGGTTTGAATATCTGCCGCTTTTCCCCACATGAGAATCCCGTAGGACATTATACTACGGAAGTAACTAAAGTAAACTAGTCTAGCAGTACTAACATCGGTAAGCTCACGTATTCTGCAGACTGCGTATGCAGCGGAGCTTAATCTGCTGGCCAGGGAAGATATAGCTATTATGTGGAAACCATTGAAGTTTACTGTCTAAGAAGATCACTTCCAAGAAGACTTTATTAACAAGGTCTTTAGTTTGGAAGTGAATGAATTGTTTTTTGGTATATTTTTTATATAGTTAGGCATTTTGTTGTAAATTTGAATGGTTTTATGGATTAATATGGATCTTTTTTTATACATTTTTATAATCGGTTCTGGGAGGATCAGTTTGTCTTTGCGACTTGCACTTTTATTGAATTCAAAACAGATTAAGATTATTTCTTACAAATATCTTGCTCGTTTGATGCTTGTATACATTGAAGCCTTGTTTCGATGTGTAGAGCTGTAAAATTTGTAGGTACTTAAAGCGATTGTGGCTTTTGTTAACGGTCGATGACATTCGACACGGTAGTGTGACCGTACCCCATTACCAATCGCGGCACGTTACTGTACACGGATTTGCTGACATTGATACTCGAATTCAAACTAAATCTGATGATGAAATGAGAAGTTGTGTTCCTCTTCAGCGTCTGTCGCTGTAACGTACACAAATTTTTATAAAAATGCATGGGTTCTAAGACTCTGAGATTAAGTACATAACGGTGAAGATTACGTGGTCTTAAGATTATGGGATTATGTAATTTTATGTTCATGTCGTCGGGGCTGGTGCAATTCCGCGTATCGCTCTTGATATCTAACATAGTATTATCTCAAAAATTTCGTTATATACTCGTATGTATATCAATCGTATTCGATATCAAAATGACAGGACAACACTGTCACTTTGAAATGAAATAGGTAATATTAATGTAATATAATCAACGCAATTTTGAGATAATACTACGTTAACATATGAATATATTGCTGGCGTCGAGTACCTACATAAACAGAAATAGAGACGAAATAAAGGCCACACATTCCTGGTAAGTTATCAGTGATACATTACTTATAAATATCAACTCTCGTTTGCACTGAAATATAGACAGCGCCAACAACTAAACCTGTGTGTACCTACGTCTCCGTACATTCCAAAAATATTCTCTACTTATTGTAATAAAGATAACATCTCTAACAATGACGTGCTGTTCCATTTGGTGGTGTGAGGAAAAACAGCAAAATATCTAATTACAAAACAAACGGAATCAAATTTCAACGGTAATTAAATATTGAATATGTAATTTTGCAATTTTCGTCCATTACAGCAAAGCTTAAGTTAACTGGCCGTGTTGAAGTGAAACAATTGATGACACCCGTCAATTGTTCCGAATTCGGGCTGGCCGATCGGAGCGCTGTTGTCACAGTAATGATATGGCAGAATAGTTTTCAAACAAATTATATGACATTTCGTATCTATTTCTGGTTATACATATACTCGATGATTGTAGGTATACTATATTCTTATTTTTTATTTGATAATGTTACTTTTCGTATGTCTATACAAGTCAAATTTTGCTATTGGCACACTACGTATCCCGCTCTGATTAGCTTTCCTATATCTCAAAGGTTGTCTGGAAGAGATAGCTCTTAACGGTAAGGCCGCCTTTCCCCACATTAGTTTTAAGCTGTCTATGTACTGGTTTTGTTCCTGTGTGTGAGGAATAAATTGTAT